ATTTTTGGAATGGGATGAAATTCGTTGAACGAATAAATTGACCAGATTCTAAAGTTATGAGTGATTTTAAAAACATATGAATGTGGGATATAGGTATGAGTATGGAGAGATGATGAGTTGGATTGTTGTCGTTAACAAAAAATCATAATGATGACAACTTCTCAATCATGTTTTGGATACCAATTGTCGATATGACCATAGTCGATAAATTTAGTAAGCATCATTTTGGAAACTTATATTTGAAGATAACCAGGAATAACTGTATTTTACTCATCAATGAGGAAGATTCCAATAGAGAGTTCAATTAACTTGAGCTTATGAACAATGGAAGCGAACAGTTTCATTTGTTTGTAAGATGTACATCATATCACATTTCATATGCAAGAAACTGAAGATATTTATTCACTCTTGGGCAACACTGGCATTCTGGACGCAAATAAAGCAGCACCATAGGCAGCCGATGCTTTCGATTGATCTGAAGCGCAGATCTCGAAATCTTTGAATATTTCTTTGATATACGTTGAATATGGCTCTTTGTTGGCATTACCGGCCAGTATCAGTCTTGTAATCCCGTTTGAGTGAAGAATTTCAGTTGACAGAAGACGATTCAAATTTGCGATCACACCTTTAGCTGTGGCATGCAAGAGCTGAAACGAACTCAAAGTGTCAACAATGTGATAACTGAAATAAATATGAATCGGCAACCAAATGTTTATGCTCAGTGAGTTCAAGCAATTTGCAAAGGCGATTTTCCATCAAAAAAAANTTCGATCTTGGAGGAAAAAAGTTTTGATCAACTGAAGAAATTTGGTTTTTTCGTACGGAACTGAGCAAAATTCACTTCTGCAATTGACGTGTCAGATCTCAGCCCGGATATGACGGATGGCAAATGCTCTGAGCGTTCCTCGTAAAATGTTGGCTCGACATTTATCAGTGAGGACTGTTTTGATGATGAGTTGAGGATCTGCTCAAACTTCTCGAAATCTAGTGTCAAACGATCACTGATAATGTGATCAACTGATAATGCTGAAGCCCATTCCAGTATTTTCTAAAATTGAAGACTGACATCGCGTGAAAACTTTACTTTGCATTATAGAAATGAATCAATTGATAAAGCAGAAAGCAAGCAAAGTAACTGAAATGTTCAATTGTTGGAAGATTTCGACGAAACGCTTCATGTGATGCACTGTTATCAATATTTTTGCAATCAATGGTATTATTAGTGTTACTTCGCTGGTTACGAATCACAATTGTTATCATTGTTGACAATTCATAATAATCATCACGAACCTCTGCTAATAGATGCACAGCATTGCCACCGTTCATTGAGGCTGCAGTTATTAGTTTGAAATCATCGAAAAATGGCTCAAATAAAAGATGATCTTTTAAGAATTTACGGTGGTCGCCATTATAACGAAAACATAATTGAGCCGATGTGCCCAAATTGAGTACTGCAAATAGGAATTTCTTATCAAAACGTTGAATGCAACAGCCTGCATTAGTTATGAATTGCAACTAACGCGTAATTTTATGAAATAATCTCATGAAATTGTCATTAGAATAAAGAAATGAGCATCTTTCTGAACAGAAGAGAAGTCACCTTAGAACTTCTCTTCAGGAGCGTTTTAAATGAACAAAAAAAGAAGTTTATTGTGATTGCTTGAAAAAATGAATAAAACCTGCAGAATCATTCGTCAGCAGAGGATATACAGTGGCTTGTAGATCACCTAGAGAAGCGTACACCATAGCATTCGTTGGCAAACCAAAACCATTGTGACGTACAATACCCACAATTGTTCCATTGGGAACTATTTTTGGTAAGATATCCAATGGTACAATTTCATTCTACAATAGAATCGATGCGTTTTGATAATGAATTCATCGCTTCCAAAGGGATTGGATGAATGAATGATCTGCTAGTCGGAAATCTAGCATCTAACCGGATCGACTCGTTTTCAATCAGTGAGCGATTCATTTTTCGCATGATCAAATTTCATCTGTGATTTCAAATTTTAACTGGAAAATCCAACACGACTCAGTCCAACGTAGTCAGTCTTTGAAGATTATACGTGGTTGTGAGTGGACAGTACAAAATCAGAGGAAATGTGATAACCAGTGTGGAGGGGAATACAAAATTCCTACGGTAATTGTCCATTGATACGCCAGGTTACAATAGGCCCAACTGAATGCATTTTGTAAACTGATCACTGGAACACTGGAACGTATCAGATAACATGCTAACATATCCATTACCGTACCGCAACAATTCCACTTGGGATCAAGCAACGAATTACGGTATAGCCAAGCCAATGTGACAATACCGTAACCAGCATGAACATCACCGTATTCCCACCTTCAATTGTAGCGTACAGTAGTAACAATAATTCAGTAATACAATAGCGTACAGTAATTCAACACTACTAACAACACAATAGCTTACAGTATTTCAGTTGTACAATTGCATTGCGACTTTTCGTATAAACGATGGCTGATGTTTCATGTAATACGACTTCATAATATTTGACTTCATGTATATTAGCTTGCATTTATCACAAACACAAGCAATCACATTGAATGTGCTCGTTTAGGTTTGTATGTATGAATGAATAATAGACAAACGCAGACTAACTTAGGTAATGAGTCGATAAATTGTTGTGGTACTCTTGAATCCATCCAGGTTATTAGTGGCGAACAACTGAACTCACCTTAACTTCACTAATTAGTCGATATTAAAATAAAATACGATTAGGTGAGGAAATAAGGAAATCAAATGATAGAATTGATAGGTAGGCTGTGAATTTGATCATGTCATAAACCTGCAACCAATGAATCGTTATTCCATAATATAATGCCATGCATTTGACCCGTTATGACGATATTTTTGACGGATTTCAGATTTGGCCGCATTGACTGAAGAAGTTCAATCACTTTGGCGAATATTTTCTCGGCACATTGTTCTTTGCGGTCAGGCGAATCGTTTTGGATCCATGCATCATGAACTGCACTCTTTTCTTCGACAACACTTCAACGAACCACTTTTCAACAGCTATTCTCAACATATGAGTGCAATAATTTGATTTGAGGTTGCGGAGTTTTAGTGGCTGTGAAACGATTGCAACTGAATGAAATAGGAAATGCACGGTGTGCTTCTTGATACAATGCAAGGAAACAACTCATTAGACATTCATTTGACTCGATTATGAAGATCATTTCATTGAACAAGTTAGTGCGATGAATCGAAGTATAAAAACTCAAGCCAGCTGATCAGTTTGTGAATAAGAAGCGATAAAAACAATGAGGAGAACATACGTTTCACTCGAATCAATCGCACACACTTTGATACTTGTTGTACCCAGATCTATGCCAACCGCTACAGCAGCTTCACACATACTCGAGTTTAATCGATTGAAAGTAACTTCAATTTGGAACGGAATGATTCACTTGATATTGTTATCACTGCCAACTTATATTTGCAGTAACCTCTGTCCGAATGTACCCATAAAACTGATCTGATTTTATGATATCACAGCTGAACTGATCAATACTCCCATTCTACTCCGATTGTTATTTCTCATAGCGATAATAATCAACGGTGTACAGGTTTGTTGTATAGTGTTGTATTTTGCAGTAATCAAAGCTATTCCGGGATTTGTTAAAAAAAGGTTTTTAGTTTTCAAGCCTCGAGAGTACCTGTAGGGTTTCGTGACCATCAAATACTCACTTTCTCGTGTATGTGCAATTGTTTCATGAACAACAAATAATACAAAGAATCGAATGGTTTATTGTAGACACTGGAAGAAAACTTCTTCTTCTTTACAATACGACAGATCCACTCATGTGAATAAATACATTCTCAAGGGGAACTTCAACAGTATGAATGGAACAGGATTGACTGAAAATTGAACTGATATCGATCAGATCGCCACCTTCAAATTCAAAATTTTCGATCGGCAAAAAACCATCAACCAAATGAAAATAGCGCCCACAACTGTGACAGAGAACCTCACCGAATGAGAGTGGTTATCCAGGAATGGGACTAGGCTGTTGGAGAGATTATGTAAACGTAACGAACGAACAAACGATGAAATGATGAGGATTTTTATTATTTACATTGATTTAACATTACCACATCGATTGATTAGATAAAAAGATAATGACAATAACGGATTGCAGTTCAGTTATCGTCATATGGGAAGACACAAAAATGAATAATGATCACAGCAAGCGTGCACAGCAAATGTTCAATGATTGTTGAAAGGACGAAAAAACAATTAACAAGAAACAATCAATCACGGACAATTTTTGTGTGTTCAATGACAAGTTTATAATTGGATACATGACACTTTTGAATAGATATGTGAATATTTAAAGCTGACTTCTAGCAATTCGTTTGTTACTCATTAAACTGAACCTCACTTCTTTTCGGTTCCTCCCAATGATATTAAATCAAACCGAAGCAATGATATTCGTACAACATTAACAAACAACACTAGTGTGAAGAGTGCGAATCAACAATGTATTAACGCAAGACTGGCGTACTTGTTTGCGAGTACAAGATCGATGAGAATGATAAATTGATAATGAAGATGATGATAACAATTTGATGGCATTATTTGATTCATGAAATAATTCGAAATTAACCAATATCAACCAGGCAAACCAAATTTGACTTTCACTAGAAATGATTTCAAACAACAATCTGCACTCCTAATTATGCTGATCTGTTGACGACACAAAAGGTTTTCTTCTTGGCGACAGTATCAGCGAAAAGAGATCTTTGGTCAGTTTTAGATTTAGCCCGAAAAGTTTGTTCACGATCAATCGAATTAATGAAAAGATAGCCTTCAAATAGTCTCGAAAAGGCATTTTCAAAAGATGAATAACATATCGTTAAACAAAAAAAGTAAACATCGTTTCCTTAACAACAAAAAAAAAATCACACGGAAGCTCATTGAATGAGTGCTTCAACGGAACAGACAACAACAGCACACACACACAAACACACTTCTGAGGAATGCTAATAGCAAGAAATAATAAAATCAAGAAGTACATCATGAATAACGAATAAATCAGATCAAATTCGTATCTTCGCTCGTTTAATCGACACAATTTGAAAATCTTCCCAACTCAGGTACTTTAATACTATTACTACCAGTTCATCGTGGATGGCAAGAGCTGAACCGAGATAACAACCATAGGAAGATGGGAATAAACATAAGGACTGTACAACCACATAGCGTGACCGCACTATGCACTGAGACAGCACAGAGATTCGAGAATGCACACCTAGATTGGTCCTCCAGATGCAAAGCCATGCTCGGTGAGAGGATAACATACACGCAGATGATGCATGGGCACACAAACAGTAAGGATATTTCCCGGAAACCGTTTTCTATCGGCAATAAAAAGGGCACATTGCAAGTTGTAAGCAATTGAAAAGTTGAGCGCAACAAGAAATGTGAAAGGAAAAGGAAACAAACGAAACAAATAATTATCTATTAAACAATTCAAGTTCTTGGATAAAACAAAGCTCAAATAAACACAGACATAAACTCAAAATACAATAAGAACAAAAGGAATTCCATTCCCATTCCAACAACATGCGAAATATCAAAACGATATCAGCTAAACAACAATGATCAATACGAGGATATTTACGGTGAAAAAAAAATAAATGAATAGAATGAGTGAATAAGTCAATAAATGGTTCAGGTATAAGGTAGTTCATCAATGGAATGCTATGATTTTATGTGAAAACAGTGGACGATTTGATATTTTCGAAACTTAATTTCGCCTACGAATTGAAATTCTTTCGATTTCTGATTTTCAAAAATGCATGATATGAATCAGACTAGACAATGAATATTTTAACATGCGAATGACAAAACTATTTTTCGATCAATTTTTTAATAACTGCGAATATTTCAAATTCTCATGACAACACTTTCGTCATCAACACTGAATAAAAATATCATATCGTCGTCAATATGGACTAAAAGTTAGTAGGAAGAAAATGAGAAAAAAATATGTATATATAAATAAATTATTCGAACGATACAACCATCAAAAAGTTGGATTCATGATGATGTTCGTTCTTCAGGATCGTTTGTAATCTCAGTATGTATATACAACAATTTTGAATTGCACACAGGAGACATATGCGGGAGACGTGATAATAATAATAATCATGGAACAAATTCAACGAATACACACGGAACAATGATCCGATAAAGCCAAAATCACATTATTTGGCTTCAATATTCAACAGATCCAAAAACAAATCACACTCGGTGTGACCAACAAATATGTAGAACTGAACAGTTGTATGATATGCTATACGAGTATAACAAATCCTGAAATGAAAGAAATTTTATCTGATTACACTCAACACAATTTTACAATTTGCTTATCGATTCGAACTTAGCTGATCAGATGATTAGGATGTTATATTTTATAAGTGAATGTTTTGAAATTCGAACAAATCTTCTGCGGTAAGTAATGATAATTTTCGACAGCATCGTTGCAAATTTCAATAAGTTGGTGTAAACTTCTTAAAAAGAATTCTCTATTGAGAAATTAATTGGAAACCGGAGAAGCAATCAGTCTAAAGCAATTAATCTAAAAGTAATGCCATTCTTTTTCGGAACTGTAACGAAATGATCACCTGTGATGAGGTGATGGAATCACTTTGGCTCCAACGGGGGATTTGCCATTATTGGAGCTGCTTCAATATTGTTCTTTACAGCATCCACAGACCGTTTCGTATCGTTACGAGGTTCGTTATTTCCGCGATTCGCTCCCTTCTTGAAAACATCATCTGCGCCCATATTCGCCACTGCTAACTGATACGCTGCTTTCAGATCATCATCTGGGACCATCGATAAGTTTATGTTCCGACTTCGACCTGAAAACGATACACCATTCAAGATATATTCGAATTAGCACAGTGAATATTCAGTGATGATCCGTCCTCTCCTAACAACTCTACAATATATCACAATGCTTTTCTCTGCTGTTATGCTTTTTCTTTCCTGTTTGACACGTCCATTTCAAGCAACGCGTCCCAAAAGTTGCAAATTGCTTTCCCTTTTGTATTCTTCACATAAACCATAAACACAATCGATGAATCAATTAGCAAATAATGAATATTAATGACGCATTGAATACAGATAATGCAAATAGTAACAATAACAAGACAAGAATCAATTAATCTTCAGTAATGTGATATTGAATAATAAAAAGATATAAATTTTAAATGAACTAACCAAACGGTCTCAGATGATAAATGAGGTATTCGAGGACATACATCAAATTCGAATTGACATAATGAAACGATATTGCATAGTCACTACAGCAATTCGGTCCCTAAATAATCTCCTTCAATCGTCACATATGAAAGCCTATCAACTGACGACATTAAAGCAAACGAAAACTGTTCAAACGAAAACAAATTTAATCGAAAAATTTAATGCAGATATAAAATCAACTGACTTGATCCATTGGATAGTAGATATATTGCCAAAACCAAAACGAAGGATCCACATGACCCGGTAGAACGTGATGTTCAGGAACGAATGGAAAGAAACTGAAATATGTTCACTTTTCAAAAACACATTATGCAGATGGAAATGAGTCCTTCGATTTCAATAGGCGATCACTTCAGCAAATCAACGAACCGCAGATCACGAAATCTTCAAATAGTCTCACAATCAGTCATGAGCCAAACATCGAACCTTCTCGATGAAGTGTTTGATGTTTGCCCTGAAACTGCGAGTAACTGAAACAACTCAACAACAACAACAACAACAACGCTCACCGATGGTGACCTTCAGAATCCCTGGAATCACCAGCTTTGACGCCAATTTTCTCGAGGCATTTGCCCATCTCAGCATCCTCGGCACCTCCTTCTCCAGGCGCACATTTCTGTTTATCCTAAAAACAACGCTGCACTTCAACATCGAAAAGTTCATTAACTATGAAAATGCTACAGAAAATCCGCCCAATAAGATGTGAATGCATTCATGGGAAATAAAAATGTACCTTCATAAAACCACTTCAAAAATTTGCAAATGTCATTTGATAATCGACTAGACAGAATTCACTGAAACTCTAAGAACAAGAACGGAGAAAAAAA